TACTTATTTTGTACCTTTTGCCCGATGGTATATGGCTCCAAAATTGTTGGTGAATTATCTTGTATATTTAATATTGTAGGTATAAAACAAAATACCAACATTGTTAAAAAGCGAAAAACCAATATTGAATAAAAATTTTTACTGTACTCAAATATCTTCTTATTTCAGCATTATTAAATTTTGATTCTAAATTTTTTTTTTGCATTATTTTATTTAGAATAAATTGTTTTGGAAAAAAAAACTGACCTAATGATATTCTATTATAATGTACTGTGTAAAATTTTTTTTTTTAAAGCGTTTGAAAGCTAAGAACTTTTAATGAAAAGCAAAATGTTAAATTATTTAAAAAAAAAACATAATGAAGTTTTTTCTAATAAATAGAAATTACCTACAAGTGTGACTTATTCTTCTGCTGATAAAAGTAGATTTTTTAAAGTATTAACCAAAATGACGTTTAAGACGATTTCTTCAAATGTATTGTAAATCTTATACTGAAGGAAATATCAATCAATTTAATATATGAGCGTGAGATAAATAATTTTACAAAAAATATAATTATAGTTCTTCTTGTTAAGATTCTGTATAAAAATTTAAATATGTAAACCGATTTTATTTATTTCTGATTTAGTTGACTTTTAAAAAATTTTAAATCTGATCCAGTACTAGTCGAAGTTTCATTAAAGAGGCGAAAATGAAAAAAAAACTATATGTAATAAGGTTACAATAAATTTGACATAAATCATAATTTTTAAAATATTCTAATTATATACACAAACATTAGGATGATGTTAATAAATTTTAAAATACATGAAAATATAACAAAATATACAAAAAAATAATTTATATGCAAAAAAAGGTTACTTTTCGAAAAAATCTTTGTTTCCTCGTAGTACCAAGTATCAAACGACATTTTTTTCTTCTTTTTCGTATTTGATTGACTGAAATCAAATTAAAAGAAAAAATAATTTTAATTGTTAAAAAAAAATTCAGGTTTCCTTTGTTATCATTTATCATTTTCCATACTTTTAATTTTTGTGTTCACTACAATTGCAGAGTTGATTTGAGTTTAACAACTTTCCTTTTTTTGACGAAGCCAAAACGAAATGTGTCTTTAAAATTTAATTTATTTTTTCTTGCATTTTTTTTCTCGGTAAATTTTGAATTTATGTTTAATACGAAAAACCTATATTAGATTTTATTACTTTACATGCGTTTAATTTGTCCGTTGTCAAATAAGGGTAATAAGGGGAATGTAAACATATTGTTTTTAAAAATATATGTAAATGTATATGGTAGAACGGTAAACCAATTTATTTTTCACAAAATTAATACGCATATTGTGACAATTATATAAAGTGAATTCGATTTTTAAATTTTAGTCAAATTCTTTGATAATACAAAAATAAATAAATAATGTTACATAACTAGTATTCATAATTTTGTAAATAAAACTAAATATCAATATAACAATATTGAGTTATTAATGTTGTTGTATAATAATTTAAGTAAACATCAAATATTCAAAATTAAAGTAAGAAATATAAAATTGAAAAATCCAAAAAATAACAAAAATGAAAAAAAAACTAAATGAATTTAAGAAATAGAGTATTTAAATTAAATTTAAAATGTCGAAATATATTATTTCATACAAATAAAGTAATAAATATTTTATGTATAATAAATTAGCATACAAATTTTAGATGTGGCAATAGACAAGTCGCAATTTTTTCTTCAAATAGAAAATGTTTTTTTTTCAATTACTTATTGTTCAAATTTATTTTGTATTTTGATAGTACAAAATTAGTAAAATACAAAGATTTTATGATTTATCTTAATTTTGATTTTAGTTTTTTATTTACTCAATAATTGTTAAAATTTTTCATATTGAATCATATTGAATATTTTCGTAATAAAACTTATGGCATTTAATAAATAAACTTATGGCAAAATTTTATAAAAAAAAAAATTATATATTTAAGTGTACAGTAAATTAAGATTAAATCAAAAATTTGTCAAGTAGGAAATTGGCTTTGAAAAAGTTAAAATGTTTTGTTTAAAAAAAATATCTTTTACCTCAATAATTCCAAAACATATCAAAAACATGTTGTAATTTATAAATAAAATATTCTGTACTTTTATGACGAGAACAAAAACTAAAAAATCTGATGTGAACAGCACATAACCGACGGCATTAGATTATGAAAATATCTTTCAAATTTTCAATTATTTAAAATTCTATGAAAGGTGAAAATTAGACTTTCATTTACTCAGAAAAATGTAGTTTGGTTCTTAGTAGAGGCCCATTTCCATGACACAATTTTCCTGCAAGGTTTCCCAGTCAACTTCGTTAACAACAAGAACACAAATTTTAAGAAATTTCCCCAATTACTTTTTGAGGTATGATGAAATATATAACATCGGTTTTTAGTGAAAGTTCTGTTTTCGAGCCTTGATTTTCCTGAAAAATTTACTGATTCATTCTTTTAATACCCAGATTATAAATATGAAATTTCAAATAAATTAGTTGAATATTTCTCTCAACATGAGGAAAAAAATAAAATCTGCCCGTAGTAAAAATCCAGTTCCGGATATCTGACATATCGCAAAAGTTGATCAAACCGTCTCATCCTCGAAGTACACTCAGATATAAACTTTCGTGTAAATCTATTTTGCCGAACTTGAGATACTGATCTGCACAGACAGACAGACAGATCGGCAGACACATCTCTAAAAATAATTTATTTAGGCTTATTTAAGTTAACTTACGTTTTATTTAGCATGAAGAAAAATACTTCCGCCGAAAACTCGACATGTGAAATTTGGTGCTATATATCACATGACGTGATATATGGCACCAATATTCAAAAGCGTTGAAATATTGGCCAAATCAAAAAGATAATTAGGTGAGTTGAGAGAAATAATTATATTTTTATCTTAAGACATTTATGGTTAGTATTTTGCTTTTATAGAACTATGAAAAAGTTATATTTATGAAAAAATATCAGGCTGAAATTTTAAATTTTCTTAATTTTGGGAATCAATAACTCGTAAGGGAAACCAATTGAAAAATTTCTTAAAATAAAATCATTTATTAATGTTTATAGGCTGCTAAAACTTCAAACTTCAACAAATTACCGTCAAAAAGCTAAATGATGTCAAAAATATGAAAAAAAAAGTTTAACATAACGATTAATTTCAACATCCATTTTCTTTCAACGGGTTTTGTGTTGCTTAGTAAGATCCATTTGTCTGCAGAATTTCAGTTCTCTACCTGAGATTGTGTACAAAATTTGAGTATTGTATCTTAAGGAGTGAAAAGATGCAAGGTAAAAAAGTAATAAGAACAATTTTTTTTGATTTTCATATTGTTGAAAAGATTGTTTGCATATTTCAATTCTTCTTATAGTCAAACGGGTTATAATTATTTCAATTATATGGATAAAATAAAGGTAAAAGTGATGTAATGCATAGCACTTTATAGGTGTATAAATTGTTCTTTTGAACAATTATTTTTGTTTTTTAAAATAAAATGTACCTGAATATAAAATGTTTCGATGGACACAAGCTTATCGGTATTCAAATCACAACATTACCAAAAGAGAACGAATGGATTTGTAATGTGCCATGGAAATGTTGCTAAACTTGTTGCAATATACCAACACTTACATATGTATATGTAAATATTAGCAATAAAATATTTTTCACAAATTCCTGTAAATAGTATAAATATATGTATATGTACATATATATGTTATAAATTTATAATATATTAAAATGTTAATGAACTACAGCTAACAAGTAAATATTAATTATTTCAATTAGGTAACTATAATAGGTGGAGATATACTTGTTTTCGAGCTACAGCCTGTTGAAAAAAATGGTACCGGACTTTTCTTACATATAAATAAATGTTAAAATTTCGTAACCATATAATATAGTTATCCTTAGGAGCTTGTTTTGCAGGCGATGGATTGGTTTTTATTTTTTGTGTCACCTCGCCCTCGCCCACACGATTTAAATCATAACAAATAATAATTCGCTAGGTTTTAATAAATATGGCTTTGTAATTATTAAAGCAAATTTTTAATTTTTTTTAATTATAGAAAATAATTTTAAGTCAAATATGCCAATATTTTTAAGTAAAAATGTATGCCAATTTATACACATTTATTTTTTTTTAAATTTTGCATAATCAAAATTTTTTCTAAACTTCTATTTAACATATTTTCTATTTTAACACAAACAATTTTCAAAAAAAAAAACATTTGTCCATTAAAATCGAGAACTATGTATGTAGATAAAAATGGTTTGTTAATTAAAATTAAATTTCAATAAGAAAAAGATAAAATAAAAAATTTCAAAGTGTCAAATACACACATAAATTTTTGTATTAGCTGCAATAAAATAGAAAATCATGTTTTCTGCTGCGAATTATAAATTTTTATTAATTTGAATAAGTATTTGACGCTTATATGATTTTTTATGTTTTATTAATTTTAATTGGGCTTATTAAAATAACACAATAGACAAAGAATATAAAATAAATATTTACTAAACAAGTACATAAAATTTTTTAATATTTAAAAAAAAGTAAGAACTAAAACATTACAAAACAAAAAGAAAACAGAATAAATATTGCTCTTATTTTGCTTTATTACTACACCATACATATGTATATATATATATGTATATAGTATGTACATATAAAGCAACATATGTATATATATATATAAATATGTAAGATATTTATAGTATATACTTTTGCGAGATTTGTTTTATTTTATATTTTGAAAATTTATTTTTGTATAGATATAAAAGTTGGTATATTTCGTTTTTTTCTCTCAAATTTTTTTTTTAAATTCTATCATGGTTAACAATATTATATGGCTCTTTGTATATAAATATAGATTTGTAAATTTATGTTCATTAAAAAAAAATGCTAATATTTTTATAACAATGTTATATTTTTTGTTTTCTTTTTATGATCTTTGGATTTGTACCTATAAGAGGAACAGCATCCGACGTTGTCGGCATAGATTCAGCAACTAGATTTAGGAAAACGGTTAATGATAGAAGTATAGTAACGCCTGAAAAATATTAGAGAAGAGAATCATAATTTTTTTGTGTTAACATTTTTGTATATTTTGGTTTAAACGTTTTTTTTTTGGAATATAAAATGTTATTTTCAGTTTTTTAACAATTATTTTTATTATTATTATATGACAGATGATGAAATTCTGTGCGTTTCATGAATTTTTCATATTGTTTTATATACGATGAAGTTGCATGTAATAATACATAATATAAAATTATAAGAATTTTTCAGCCACTATTTATATAATGTTGTACATTAAATCTAATTAAAGTCAATAACCTGAAAAATTATTCTTAATTATACATTAATGAATTTATTATTTGTATAAAGGCATATAGTAGAAATATTTTGTGTTAAAAATATATAAATATATTAAATGCTGTTCATTAGGTTCATTAATTTTTGTTTTGATTCTATTAAGTATAATTTCTCCTATCAAAAATGTATATTAAACACTGGTATCCAGATAGCAACAACACTGCATTACTATACGCAGTTGTTGGCATAATTGTGTAATAGTGCTGTATTATTACAACAATGTAATTAAATTTTGTAATTTGAAGGTCAGGGAAATAGTTTTTTTTTATAAAAATCATTAAATTAATTTTTTCAATAAACTAGTTCTAAAATATTATGTGTTCATATTTTTCATTAAATCAGTTGAAATAAATAATAATCAATTAGAAAATTTAGCTTATAGATATATTATACAAGACTTACAAATCATTTAAAATTTATTCGTAAATTATACTAATGTATATTTTTAATTTCTTTTAATTTCTATGTTAAGTGAACTATGTACCAAGTTTAGATACATGTATCAGAAAACCAGTATCAGTTTTTTCATAACAAAATGTTATTAATATTTTTGAAATTTTAAAATGACTAACAAATTTTGCATAATTACAATATTGCCATTATGAAAAAGCTGTTATATTAAAATCCATTTACTGGTCGATTATTTTAAAGATGTGATTTGAAACATGTAAGTTTACATAAAATATAAAATTATTCTTTATGTAAAATATAGAAAAATTTGGAATTGGGAATTTAAATAGACTGAAATATATGTTTTTATTAATCAAATTAGTGATTCTTCTTGTGATTCAATTATATATGTGTAATATGTATAACACATCTATTCGGTAGAACGCTAAAATTTAAGTTGAACAGTTTGCATATAATCACGTGCTCTTATCATAACTCCGCCGTATATGATGCTTTTGCTTTAATTATCATTAACATTTTGAATCATTAGCATTTTGATATTTAACGTTTCTATTTTAATAACATTATTGTTAACAAATACGAGTATGCTTCACTTTTCCATATTTATCAGATTTGTGGTTCTTACTCAAATTTTGAAATTATTAATCAACGAATGTAAAAAAAAACAAAACCGGTTCATTAAAAAATAATTATCTGAAAATAAATACTTATATACATTATATGAAATATTTCTTTTTTTTTTAATTACATTATTTTAAAATTAAAACATTATAAAATTGTTATATATAGATATATAAATTGTAAATAATTAAAAAATATGGTAACAAAAGATATTCGTTATATAACATAAATTTAAATATATTTATGCATACCTAGAGTTAGTTTTTCACCGGAATCTGGTGGTAAGGTAAATCCTAATAAAGCCATCGATGATATTAGAACACATGGTACTATTAAATTGAAAAAATAATATAAAGTCCTTCGACGTATTTGTATTGTAAACGTGATATCAACATATGGTTCTGGGCAGCATTGATAAACGATGGTATTTTTTTTGCCAGGCATACCTTTTGATGTTCGTATATTTTTTGTTGAGCATTATTTTCATTTTTCATATCATTTCAGGTTAAAATGCGATACATTTGTATTATTTCGTTAATATGAAAGTAAAATTATATTCAATTAGTGAAAAAGCAATCGCATTGAAAATAAAATATTTGAAAATAAAATAACAAAAAAATATATTTATTATATAATATACATATATACATATATCTATATGCAAATGTCCATGTTATTATATATGTTTGCAGACATAAGCTGTATATATGTATGTATATACATAAAATATATAAATATGTAACATAATTCAATATATTTGCGTAAAATATTATGTTATATAATATACAAAACAAAATTCTCGTTTAACAAAAACCAGTAAACATTTTTGCAATTACAATAAAAATTAAAACGATATCGCAAAAATCAGATACAATTTACGTTGGATGATAATTTATTAATGCATTTTCTTTTCTTTTAATGCTTCTTAAAAATTGATAAAAAGTGAAAATTATTCGAAAATAAACTATTTTAATTCTTAGTTTTTGTTTTTCAAAATTTACCTGCAACATTGTTAAATTTACATTTAAAATTTTTGATTCATGTAACGAAAGTTTTAACGTGTAATTACTTTAACGTATAAACATGTAATTACTTTACATAAGAATGATCAAGAATTGCTTAAAGCTTTTAAAAGTGTTGATGCACAATACCAATTTTTTTAACATGTTTATTGTTCTCTAAACAAAAAAAAGTTGTATCCTTTTATAATTTATATCAAATATTCACCTGGAAATTTCCAACTTATCTGCAACAATTTTCCGGGGACTGTCATTTATGTTAAAAACTTTTTAACAATCAAACTTTAGTTTATAAAAAATTGAATTATCTAATGGGGGCGGCGTGCAGATATACTCGTTTTGAGTTACAGCCTGTTGAAAAAAAGATATCAGATTTTTGCTGCATATAATTATAGGGCTGCTTGTCTTACAGCACCTGCATCTGCATTCCATCGAGCCCCGCCCCCCCTCCCATATATACAACTTTTTGATGGAAATTGATCAAAGAATCATTGCTGAACTATTTGCCACCTTATACGAAACGTCTTCTACAACATGTTTTTATTTTTATAAAAACTTGAACAGTTTTATAAAAAATTTAGTTATGTCAGTAGATCAGTCCATACAAATACAAGAAAAATAATTTAATTTACTATTCTTTTTTGAATTGTTAAAGCACAGAACAATGTTGTTAATGTGTCGTGTTTTACATATTTGATTTTTGCTCTTAAATTTGGCATTTTTATTTAAATACAATTTTATGTAGAAAAAGGAAATATAAACAAAATAATCTCTGTGTTACTTACTGGACCCGATTTTAAAGTTAAATTAATTTTTTTTCTTGTTTTCTTGTTTTTGTCTTGACATATATATAAGTATACTTACATTGATGTGACATACGATTATAAAACACGTTAATAATTAAATTATAATATGCTTAAGTAGCTAAACAATGTGCTTTATACAAACATAGATATATTTTAATATGTGTATTAGAAATATTTTTTTTTCTTATTTATATATTTTTTTTTTCATTTTCATTTATATAATTTTTATAAAAAAAAGGTTTTTTTTATGAAATTTATATTTTTCAGAAATAAAATAAAAAAATTAAGGTGCGAGTAGTATATATTAGTATCGATATGAAAGTGATTACGAGCAAGTGCAATTAATTTTTTTTACAATTTTTATAAATTAATATTAACTAAATTAATTGTTAATTAATAAACAAGAAGTACATATGTATAGTTCGTTCCATTCAAAGCATCTTCATATATGATTCTAATTGAATATTCAATCTAAGTTAATTATTTTAAAAGAGTCAAATTCTTAACAGAGTAAATAAAGTACTATTTAGTTCTTTTTAAATCATTTTATGTTATAAAAGCATATTATATGAAAACTGAATATGATAGATACATATATTAATGAATTGATTTTTTATATTAATGAATTAACTTGCTTTTTCAAAACTACTTTGAATGGGTTTATAATTCATAAATAACTATTAATTGTATACATAAAAAAAGGGATAGTTAGAAAATATGAGGACAATTTTTAAAAAATGTTATTATTTAGTGACAGTTTTAATATTAATTGACTAATATAAATTCACAAAATAAATATAAATAATTTTTAGAGTAATTTTTATACATATATATATATATATATATATATATATATATATAATATATATAATATATATATAATTTTTAATTTGTAACACAGTACAGCACAAAACAGTACAGCACGCAAATATAACAGAAATATAAAATTAGAAAATTGTTAGGCTATACATATACTAACCAATTAAATACCATTCGCCATTTGTTATAAAATCGCTTAGATCACCTTCTTCTTTTTCAGGATCAAGGACCAAGTCCAACTGATTTTTAATAAATTTTTTTTTATTAAAATTTTTTTTGGTTTTGTTTCTCATATAAATTTTTTTAAACATTTACTTGAACAATAAACTATTTAACTTTTTTTTTGTAAATAAATTTCATTTTGAAAATAATTTGTAAATGATTTTTTGAAGAAAAAATTTCAATGATAAGAATATGAAAATAAAAGTTGAAGCATGAACAATAAATGTATTGCAGTGAATTGTGATATGTTTTTTTAAATGAAAATGTTCTGAGTTTTTAATGGATTTATTATATGAAATTTATTTTTGTTTTATTTTAATTTGAATATTTTTAATTTTTTTAAATTAATTATTTAAAAATTCAATAAAATTTATTTTTCTTTAAATTAGTAAAATTAATTTCAATTTAATTTCAGTTTTAAAAATTTTAAATTTACAATATAATTTTTTTTCTTTGGTTAAACTTGTTCCTTTTTTTAAGTGTTAGTGTTTAAAATGAAAAATTCAATACATATGTATATTCAAAGTATGAAAATTAAAAATAGAAAGTAAAGAAATATTAATTATAAATGAATTCAATTAATAAACAAATTGAAAGAAAAGAAAATAAAAATTATGAAAAATATAATATTGGATATAAGAAAAAAACTTTAACTAATTTCGTGTTTGTTCGCTAAGTTGGACTAAATAATTTTTTTAACCCTCATTTCAATAAATTGGTTCAGGTTTGCGAATTTAAATATTAACACATTGATTTAATAAAGAATCTGATCTTTTATACTGAAATTTAAATCATCCTCTATAAAGCTATTCTGAATAATCTTCACAACAAATTTGCAGTATGTGCAAGTTGGGTAAGGAATTTACCCAACCGCAACTATAAGTTGGGTAAAAAATCTAAAGCAAAATATAGAGATTATTTATCCGCTGAAGCGACGTTTTCCACTGATCCGAAGGCTGCAGAACCTTTTCCTGATACAACCATTCCCCATTGTTGCCCTGGAAGACTTTTCCGCCAGTAGTCCCAATTCGTGTATATGAAAGCTCAAACTGCAGTGACCTGCCAAAAAGCCCATTGACATACAAACTTCTTCCGTATTTTGATGGAGCTTAGAAGGTCTTATGCACAACAAGGCGACTTTATTTTTCATACCCATCTACAATAAGCTAAAGAACCTCTCAGACTAACTTCGACCTGATTCCATACTTATATAGTAGTATGATTGTCTACGAAAATTGTGATAGTTTTGTTTCCTGCATAGATTTTCCTAAATACAGCGCATATATTTCTGCAGAGACATTTGCTCATCCAAGAGGAATTTCATCCTTTTCTCACGCCACTATCTACGTGTTTGCAGCTGAGCGTTTTATCAAGATTAGCCCAAGGAACCTTAAGTGGTTGAAAAAGTGGGTCTTCTGTTTTAAAAGTGAGAAATGACCAAAAAATTCCATTTCAAATTTATATGAGTACAAAAAATCCTACATCACAATTTTATGAAATCTCGTATTTCGAAAATCGTTAAGATTTGACATCTAGTTTCAAACAAAAATTTTATTAATTTTTGATGCCTTGATCGATGGTATATTATGTTAAAGTACTATTATTATTGAATTAATCTACATGATAATTCTATATTTCTATTTCTTGTTTAAATACAATACAGCGAATTCGTTTACGTCATTTCAAGCACTTGTTGACACAAGGGTTAATGATCATGCATTCGGTTGTGTCAAGTGAACATAAATTGATAAATTATCTAACAGCCATTATCACTAAATAGAAATGTTAAAAGTTTTATAAAACTTAGTTTGAAACTTAACAGTAAAAAAAATGAAGAACGAAGATTATATAATAATTGTAAGATTTTAGATTTAAGTTTTAATTTCATTATGTTTACTTACATTGGATATGGAATATGAATAAAATTTTAGCTTAAATCTTTATGAAAGGTATACACTTATGATGAAATTTTCGAGCTGGATTTTGAATTTCTTTTTAGTATTGTGCAAGGAATATGAAAATTTACATATTCAATGACCACAATGAATTGGTGTTGGAATTCTTAAGTATCAAAATTTTAGAGACGACAATGAAATCAATTGATCAATTATTATTGATGTTGAATTTGACAAAATCGGATGCATGAGGAAGCTAAACAAATTTTTGAAAGCACACTTTTTTATGTTTAATACAAGTATTTTACCTATGTGTGTTGATGAGTTTGTGAAATTTTTCTACTACACGAAAATTTAATGAATTTAAAGAATTTGAAGAACCCATGTAACCCCATATTGCATAAATCCATATTTTGAGATGAAAATACTTTTGTAACTTATTTGTCTAAGTTAAATTTGGCAAGCAAAATTTAATTTGATTTTTTTTTTGTAATGAGTCTCCATTTGCTCTTAAGTGAAGTGAATGAAAATGTTTGAAGAAGTTGTCAAAAATACTTTGGATATGTTAAAAATACTTTCGATTTTTTTAAAAAAATAAATCTATTTTAAAATACCAAAAAGTATAAATGCTATTCACAAATTATAAATTAACATTCAAAGTAATTATCAAAGTTTTAGATAAAAAGTAATGAAGTTGAATTTGCCTTATATTTTGGATAAGTATTTACTATACGAATTTTTACTACTCAAGTTTAAAAAATATTAACCTGCTGCTTATTAAGCATTTAGAAAAAACTGCAAAACGTCAATGTTTCGGTTACATATTAACCATGACAAATAATTATGACAATAATTCTGATTTATCTGAAGTCTAATTAATGTGATTTTGTTGAGAAAATTTCAAAGTCTGATTTTTATATTTTTAATCGCTTTTGTATTTTAATTATTGCTCGATTTTCATGGCAATCGAATTAAATTTTTAATTTTAACAATACAATTTTGATAAATAATAAACCGTGTTCAAATAAATTTTTTCTGCTGTTGCAACTACAGTTAAAATTTTTAAATTTGCGCTTTGTTTATTTAATGATACAATGACAGCATGTATATTAATTACATACTGTCATTGTATTATTAAGTAAATTATAAGTTCACTATTTTAAGTAAAGTATAATATTTTTTAAATAATTTTGAAAAAAATTTCCAATAAAATACAGTTTTAGAATATCAAATAGAAATCAACACTTGAATGTTCGTTTGTTTATGGTATTCCTGCAAAATTATGAAATGTACATAAGTACATACATACAAACATTTGTATTGTGTTTAGAATTCTGAAATTCTTACTTTTTATAACTTGTTTTCAAAGACAATTTTTTGGTAAGTTTTAATTAATGGTATATTAACATTTTCCAAATTGGCCACTATTTTAGTTTCTTTGCACAAGTTTTTTTAAAATCTTTTATTTACTTTGAATAACATAAAATTTTATCAGTTTGTTGTTAAAATTTTATAACTGCATAAATTATGTCAGATTTACTTGCCTCTAAAGTCTTGTTTAATTTCAGATTTTATTTTTAAAATAATGTATTGTATTAAATTAGGCGAGTCTGCTAGGCCGTTTCAGGTTTGTAGAAAAAAATCAAATCAAATTCATACGTTTTAGGTAATTTAATAT